CAATATTGGGCCGTAATTAAACCCTAATTCTATTCTTCACAATCTTGGGCTTGGCGCTATCTTGAACGGCGATCCTATTTCTGCCGACTTGGCAATATGATCTACCGACCAAGGCCTCAAAGTATACTCTTGGCTTATATTAGATGCAGATAATATATCCTGTCAATTTCCGCTGTGGTCGTCTGATTTTCCCGGGAGGGATATCCGACTGGCATTACAGAGTACCGAAATGTGAAGGATTTTCTGGGGGCTTTGCTAAGCCCCAGACTATGGTCATGATTGCATAGGTGCTGGTGTGGGTACAGCTTTAGTGGATTGTGGCAGACTTGGTAGGTCCTTTTCGTCTGGATCCAAGAACTGCAGGTCACACTTCACTATTTCCGTACGGGTTTGTATGTGCGATTTGAAGCGAGCATGGAACGGTATGCGTTTCAGTGTCCTGTCGCAGGCTCTTGGGGAAACAATATAAAATCTGGCATTGACAGAAGTGGTAGACATTCTCATGAAGTCATATCTACAACGGATGTCTGTTGTCCAGTACTGGATTGGTATATTGACAAATATCTCCTGCGCTTACCCTTCGTGTCATTATTAGTTCGCTGAGAGTAGCTACACTCCTTGGCGCACCAAAAACATTAACGTAGAAATGAATGTGCATACCCAATATAGAACTGTCTCTATAGCTTCTGTACATACATTAGCTAGAGTTATACCGTATACACCTCCCAATTAACGGCAAGCTATGCACCAATTCCAAAGCTCTGGGGACAATCCGTTGTCCATGAATAATCAAAGGAACCACAGCAACCAACCACATGAAGTACACCAGTCCAACAGCGAGAGTAAGGCGCAGCTTTTCCAAGATCGGCAACATGAAGTTAGCAACGACGGGTTCGTCAGAACCACCCAGGCTTTCTTCGACTGAACGTTGCTCAAGCGCGTTCGCCATCTGCCAAGCCACACGATTATTGATCTTCTCCCACGTTGTCTCTTCTGCATACCTCCGGGCAGAGGTGGCTAGAGTAGACCGCAGCTGGCTATCAATGGAAACCTCTCGTACAAGGCTAACAAAGGTATCTATGTCGTTTGGAGAAACCAGATATCCTGTCTTTTGATGTTGTACAATATCCGACGGGCCTCCTTGGTCTCTGGCGATAACGGGCACCCCACTGGCCATTGCCTCCAGTACAACTAACCCAAAGGTTTCTGTGATCGAGCAATGGAGGAAGATATCGCTCGAAGCATATGCGCGAGCTAGGGGTTGGCCGGTCAAGAACCCGGTGAAAATGACATGTTCCCTGACCGCGTCGAAAAGACGGTGGATTCGGCTTTCAACGACCGGGTTGCGATTCCCTCCGACAATCAGCAGCTTAAATGGAACCTTTTGTTCGGCCAACTTGACTGTCGCCTGTGCCAGGAACTCGAACCCCTTCTCTGGAGCAAGGCGACATACGCAGACGAGAATGATCTCTCCATTAGGGGCAATCTCTGTTCGATATGCATTATCACGGTGCGCGGGGTTGAACAAAGAGGTATCAACGCCACGTCCTAATCGAATTGTGCGCTCGACAGGGGCTCCAGCGTCTTTTAGGTAGTTCAGTACTGCTGAACAAGGATAGAAGATGGTGTGAACGGCTGGATGACTGAACAGGAACCCTTGCACGGTGGCCAAGAGCCAAACTGCGAATCTGTCAAGAGGTGCTGGAAAGATTATTTCACTATAGGCTGAGAGATCTGTTTGGTAGTTGAGCAACACGGTAGGTGGTTTCCGAAGTTGACGGGCCTGTAGCAGGACTTGGAAGCCCAGAGAGGCTGGACTGGCGACGTAAATTATATCTGGGTGGAAGGTTTGTTTGTAGATAGTGTCCAAGCGAAAGGGGTACACAATCGTCAGGTCTGGATTGTATGGCAGAGGATATCCTGGTATCCGTGAGTCTGCTGCATCCTGTGCCTGGTGGCGGAAGCCTTGATAATGCGGTGCGACTACAGCGAGATCGACACCGTTGCGCCGGAGATACTCCACCAAACTCAACGTCGTCCGACTAACGCCATTAACGGGCCCCAGAGACTCTGTAGTCAGCAAAACACGCCTTCCTTTGAGAATCTTAGGAAAATCATCCGGTTTGGAAGTAAACGACGCCATTGTGTACTGCAAGCATGCAGCGAATTAGAGGTGGTAATACCATGGTTTATTCGAACCTTTTTATCTTGCATTAGATCGCATTCAAGGCAGATGACATGAAAACATGGATAGCACATGATGACCGGTTGATTCGACGATCTCCTGCGGGTTGGAGGGCTCGTTCTTTAGGGATGGACCACAAGCTTCGTGTAGGAGGGCTTCGTGCGGGCACGTGGGGGTGGCCGCTATACAAATAACCTTCAGACTTCACCAGTGACATTCCGTCTTCACTTCCCCGTGCATTAACTCTTCAAGCTCTTTGGAGCCCCCTACGATTATCTACTACGCTCATATGGCTCTTAGGCCTTATCTTGCTTCATCACGTTCCGGAAACGCTCGTAGGAGGCATTCGCACGACCAGTAGCCTGCCGGAAACATACAGCGATTAACCATGATAGTTTACCTCGGCCACCGGGTGACCAGGAAGGGTCAGGTGCAGTAATAGATTGTATAAACAGTTTGATCCCTGTTGGGAGTTCCATTCAAGAAGGCTCATGCTTGCGAACTGGACATTCTCTCGAAAATGATCGCGGAAAAGGAGAATCACCCGATGGACATTCCGTCTTCTCCACTAGGCACCTCGGAGGGGAGTTTGTATGAGGACTCAACGCCTCCTACGACTCCAGCTTCAAGTCCTTTATTCGGTGCCTCCAAAGGAGACGACCTCGTCTTGTCAAGCTTTCCGTCTCCACCGGCTACTTATAATCTCGGCTCCGAGCAGAAGGTACACGACATTCCCAGCGTTGCTGTACTTTGGAGGCCCTCGGCGGGACTGGTCAAAAATGTCTGCGTCGTGGGCGCGGGGTATGTAGGTACGTTTGCACTCCTCTCAAGATGCTATTATGCATGACCCTAACTGTCCACAGGTGGGCCGACCGCTGCAGTCCTCGCGCTCCATAACCCGTCCATCGCAGTTGAAGTCGTAGATCGAGACCCTCGTCGCATTCAGAGATGGAAGTCACCACATCTCCCCGTCCATGAACCGGGCCTGGGCAATGTTGTCCGCGTAGCGAGGGACGGCGCAGAGTTTGTCACTTCGAGTGCTTCTATTGCAGCCATATTAGGGGACGTGAAGCGAAAGCCCAACCTATTCTTCACATGCGACTCAGCTCGGAGCATCTCTCGCGCTGATATGGTCTTCCTTGCGGTGAACACGCCCACCAAGTCGTTTGGGTTAGGCGCTGGAAGAGCGACTGATATGACAGCTGTCGACGAGGCTGTGCGAGAGATTGCGCAACACGCAAAACCTGGCGCAGTTATCGTGGAAAAGAGTACGGTGCCGTGTGGCACAGCTCAGCGGATCCGCCAAATGGTATTCATCACTCTTTGCTTTCATTTCCTTTGCGATTAGAATCCCTAGACCAAATTATAGGATTTACAAGGACGCTACTTTGAACTAATGCAACGAAACTAACCTCACCATAGTTCACCACCCTCCGACCAGACGTCCCCTTCGAGGTTCTCTCCAATCCAGAATTCCTCTCAGAAGGCTCAGCCATCGACAACCTCGTCAAACCTGACCGCGTCCTCATCGGATATTCAGAAACACCAGCAGGTCGTCGTGCAGCAAACATGCTCGCAAGTCTATACTCCACCTGGGTACCCGCATCACGTATCCTTGAAATCAACTCCTGGTCTTCGGAGCTATCCAAACTAGTAGCCAACGCCATGCTCGCCCAGCGCATCAGCAGCATCAACTCTATCAGTGCCATCTGCGAGAAGACCGGCGCCGAGGTCGACCAAGTCGCCAAAGCCGTGGGCATGGATACACGTATTGGACCCCAATTTCTCAAGGCCGGGCTGGGATTCGGCGGATCGTGCTTCCGCAAGGACATCGCCAGCTTGACATATCTGGCTGAGTCCCTGGGGCTGGACGACGTCGCGCAGTATTGGAATCAGGTCAATGTCATGAATGTACTGCAGCGGAGCCGGTTCGCCAGGAAAGTTATCGATCGATTCGAGGGCAATCTGCAGGGTCGTAAGATTGCCTTGCTGGGCTTTGCATTTAAGAAGGATACGGGAGATACGCGCGAGTCTTTGGCAGCTGACGTGGTCCAGCTTTTGATGGAGGAGCGGCCGATGGAAATCGCGATTTATGATCCTTACTGTCAGGAAGAGGATATCCTCCGGGAGCTGGAAATGGTACTGGCTAATCACTCAGAGAAGGAGAGTGTCGTGAAGGTTCTTGCAGATCCTTACCTGGCTTGTTCGCAGGCGCATGCTGTTCTGGTCATGACGGACTGTGACCAGTTCAAGAATGTTCCTGCTAACCCTTGCGGTCGTTCGTTGTCGACCTGTCAGACATCTATTGCTCGAGCAGACCAGGAGGTATATGATAGCCTGGCTGAGGTGATTATGTCTCCTGCTAAACCAGAAGAGGAGACTTGGGCTTTCAATGGAATATCCTACCGTCTTGTCCCGCAAGAGGCTTGTGCCGCTGATTGTGCATCTTGCCGCTCGATATCGAGCCGACCTGCAACGGCCGAACCGCTGGAGTGGGCGCGTATTGCTTACAACTTGAAAGAGCCCAAGTGGGTGCTTGACGGCCGGTGTTTCCTGGACGTACGGGAGATGGAGAAATTAGGCATTCAACTGGATACTGTTGGACGGCGGCCTGGTGCATCACAATCGAACGATACTACTAGCGTTGGGATTTGATCTGAACACCTCAGAAGACCTAATTAGATTGATACCCTACTTATGTTTATACGAATAGACAGAATCAAGCACATTATCAATTAAGCAATATAGCACGATCATAAGCATAAGTATGAACATACAAAAACTTCATCATCACCATCCCAAATTGTAAAGAAGCTCACAAGGAAGCCTGGAACTTCCCGTCAATCTCCTCCACCTTCTTCACAGCCCTCTGGTAGCCTTCCTCAGCCTGGATCATCTCCACATACTTGGCCAGATGCGGATACTTCTCCTTCAGTGGCAACCTCAACGACGCCGCAATGAGCGGAAAGCTCATCATAATATCAGCCGCAGTCAACTGCTGTCCGCAGAGATACGGTCCACCACCAGGGGCAGTCTTCAGGCGCTCTTCGAGGAAATCAAAGTTCCCGAAGATGTTCCTAGAAAGGAAGGCCTCTTCAACCTTGTACGCAACAAACCTCGGAATGGGCTTAATGAAGAACGGAACAGGGGCATCCTTCATACCTATATCAACCACGCCATCAGCCACCCACCACAAGCACCAGGCAAAAGATAAAAGAAAAGTCAAAACTCACGATCCATAACCAACTGAAACACCAAAAACGGCATCAAAGTACCCTCGGCATAGTGCATAAAGTACCGATAGCGCATCCACTCCTCCGTCTCGCCGCCGATAGCGCCCTCCTTGCCCTCGGGATAGCGCTTGGGGATCAGCTTCTCGCCGCCGAAATGGTCGCACAGGTACTCGGTGATATTACCCGATTCGGCAAGCACGAGCGGTTTCTCGGACTGCTCGGTTTCGATGGTGATGACGGGCGATTTGCCCAGCGGATGGATCTTCTTGAGCTCCGGGGGAGCCAGCATCTCCGATGTGCGCTTGAAGGTCTTCAGGTTGTAGGTGAGGCCTAGTTCCTCGAAGAGCCAGACAATGCGCTGGGAGCGGGATTGCTCCAGCCTGTGGGTTTTGCTCTTGTTAGTGTGCTCTGGTGTGGCCGCAGCATACAGAAGGGGACGGACCAGTAGAGGGTGATGTTGGCGCCTTTGTTTGCGTCCGTCATTTTGTGTATATCTATGTTGATATGAGCGTAAGAGTAGGTCACTTTGAGTTGAGCAAGAGGCGATCGAGTTGAGATCAAATCAGAACTCAATAGTTCGGTATCGTATCCGATTACAGTGAGTACAGTTCTGACGTGGTAGATACGAGCAGCAGGCGACGATCAGGAAGCCAGGACTCTTATACCGAGTATCTAGACTGATCGACTGGAATAATCTCCTTGTACTGCAGCAACCGAGTAGAAAGAGCATACCTGCCTCGGCATCTCCGCCTGTGAAACTGCGTCATCGGCGGGAGTGGGTCTCTCAGTCCAATTCCTAGAGGACCATTTTCGAGTTTGGTGAGTAAACATCCTCGTTATCTGGACTTTTTCCGACAATCACCCGATTGCTGCAGGCTCTAGTACATTAGCTGCCTCTAGGATAGACACAAGATACCCTAATTGGGATAAAGAAGAAGGAATCCACATGACTGCACAACATGCAACCATGTCCAATCACATCCATGCACTATGCAGCCTTACTAAGCAATACACCTGCCTCACGTGACATCACGGGGAACCTCACCTCACCCAATCGAAGCTCAGCCAATTCAAGACGAAGATAGGTGATAACGCTGTCCATTCTACACAACCGCTACCATGGCCGGTCCTAACAAGTGTGAGTCTTCTTCCCGGATTGCAATTGATAGAGGAGGTGCTAATACGTTTCGATCCCAGCCCTGATCCTTGACCCGGCCCTCCAGAAATACTACGGTACATCTCCTCCCCTCGCCTTCTCCCCCGACACCCAATCCAACCAATCTTGATATGAGATTATGACGGAATGCAATTGACTCTACACCCTTTCGATGCGCTTTACCGTCCAGGACTGCGATTGGGAACACAGGATTGTCGAGCGAGACCACGATCAGGGCTAATATTGTCGAGCAGAGGTCAACGCAAACCGCTACAAGTACTTCCGCTGGACCCCGCGCCATGCCTGGTTCTCATTCCTCTACATGGCTTTGATCCCCGGAACGCTGGGCTACATTGCCTACAACACTGAGGTGGGTTTGATTTGGGTTCCCCGGATAAACCGCGGAATGGATAAGTTCGGACTGACGGGTTCTCCTTGTTACAGGGCAAGTACGATTTCCGTGGTAAGAGGAGAGGAGATACGATTGAAGAATTTTGATTTGTCGTTGTTTTGCGGTCGATCGGCTTGAGGGTGGATGAAAATGAAGGGTTTGTCGATTATGACGACACCCATCGCTAGATGTGTATTTATTACGGAATATACCGCCTGTTATTTCTTTTCCTTCTTGGTACTTGGTTGAATTGTAGGCGAAGAGTTTGGGCTGTGCGTTTGCGGTACTTCCAGTGTAGGTGGAATTTGTTGTGTAGGATATGTGCGGAGAGAGATATATATATATATATATCTGGGGTAAGATATGTCTCCAAGTTTAAGCATTACATTACACCTTCAGAAGTGAAGAGCCTTGAGCCATAGATCAGACAACAGTTATATTTTCAGTACCGGGTATCCCTCAGGATCACAACTCCAGAAACTAATACAATCCGAGATCATTAGACGCAAAGTAGAAAGAGATTCAATTAATAAGGACCCCATCCTCTCCTCCCGCGTCCCCCTCCTTCCGGTAGCCTCTCTCCCCGTCTCCAATCGCCTGCAGGAATGCGCTCGCCGCCGCCTCGACCTCCCCGGCCTGGCCGGCCTGCGAATCCATTATCGCGGAATGCTCTCATGCCACCCCCAACAGCCGCACCGATGGACCCCCTCCCAGACGTGATCGGTGGTGCTACCGACCCGTCCTCCAGTGGCGGCAGAATCGCACAATCCACATAGTCTCCGATCACGAATCGTACGTCTTGTAGCGTTTTGTCGGCGTCGTGGCCCTGGAGCCGTAGGGGTCCAGCCCGGGGTCCCGCAGGAGCGCCGTTCTCTTCGTCATTTTCATCACGGTACGGGCTGTCCCTTGGTCCGACCACCACACTGCCTATGTCCTTGCTCAGGTATCGGCCGCGCGTCTCGGGCCTCATCGTCGCGGCGGTCTTTGTGTCGGGGTAAATGAGGCGGAAGCATAATCGTGTGCCTACGGGAGGGTCTGGTAGTAGTGATGGCAAGGCGGAGGTGAGGAGCTGTGACAACTCGCGCAGTGAGCAGGACTGCCAGGTGTAGATTTGAAGGTGGGCAGGGAGCGGCGGCGGGGGAGGGGAGCGCGCCCGAATGGCATTGGGGCCGCTGACAGGACCACCGTACGACGCAGGCGATGACTGGGGAGCAAAGTCTGACAGGTGGTGGAAGTTGTTCACACGGTAGAAAAGCTTCAGATGGAAGGGCGTTGTGGACTGGCGGTCAATTTGGGGCTTCGGCGCATCTCGAGCGGCGGCCATGATGCCGTTTGTCTGTGGTTCGAAGGACGGTACAATTGATCGTTCAATGAGGGCTGAGATCAGACGTGGAGATAGTGTTCTTGCGACTGGGTCAATTTCGTCACGGGCATCAAGGATAGACAACAATGAATGAATATAAACGGAGGGATTGAATGATCAACGGAAGTGTTGCGGTTGAGATAGAGAGCTCTGGTTTTGTCACGGGTTAAGCTCGACCGCCGGAGCTTTGCTTAACTCTAGTCTCACCCGCCCTCTCGACACTCCGCCCGAGATTCAACTTTTGCCGCTTCCTCCCAACTGACTGGCGCTGGTGTCCGTCACGGAACTCTGCTACAATATCATTTCCTTTCTATATATTATTTAAATTATTTATGGTTGGATTTTGTCCATATCGGCAGTCAGCAACATGGATTTCGCGGCGTTAATGTCCAAGGAGATCTCCAAAGCCAAAAACGGCGGATCGTCATCAGAAGACAAAAAAGATACATCGAAACCTCCAGAGAAGAAATACATTCGCCGTAGCGAATTAGAAGCAGCTCGAATTGCCGCCTACAATGAAGAGCAGGAGCGGGCGCAACGCGAACGAGAAGAGCGCATGGCTCAGAAGCGCAAACTGGACGAGGAAGAGGCCGAACGGCGCCAGGAGCGAGAAGAGAAAAAGCGACGACTAGCAGAAGAGTCACGGAAGAAGAGAGAAGAAGAAGAGGCGGCCAAGGAGCGAGAGCGACGGAAGCGGTTGGGATTGCCTGAGTTGCCCCCTGCCAGTGAAAAGGATGAGGACAACGACAAGGATGACGAGGAAGACATCCCGGACGAGGAACTGCTTGCGAAGTTGCGTGAGCTGGACGAACCGGCTCGGTTGTTTGGAGAGACACATCGCGGTCGTTTACGGCGGTATCAGCGACTCACACAGCGTTCGCTCACCCCTCAGCAACAATTGTCTGATGGGCCTATTCCCACGACGTTAGAACTGGTCTCTGAGAAGGATATGAAGATTTCTACGACACTTCCTAAGGATACAGAAGGCCGCAAGTATCTCTTCCGCCAGCTGGCTTCGTATTTCAACATGGTGCTAGGGGAATGGGAGCTTGCATTGGCGAAGCGAGATATATCTGTCAAGCAAAGCCACCAGGGACGACAGGCCTACAATGCGATGGTCCAGTCGAGGGAGAATATGAAGCCGCTGTTCCGAAAGTTCGAGAAGGTGGATGTTGATGATAGCGTCCTGGAGCATGTTGTCGAAATCGTCCACAAGGCCCAGCTGCGGAGATATGTAGATGCAAACGATGCCTATCTACGATTGAGTATTGGAAAGGCGTACGTATTGGCCCCCTTAAACTAATGTTTATACCTTGAGATAACTAACGGCGTACAGAGCATGGCCCATTGGTGTTACCATGGTTGGTATCCACGAGCGATCAGCCCGAGAAAAGCTACACCAGAGCGACCAGCAGGCCCATATTCTAAGTGACGAAATCACTCGCAAGTACCTGCAAAGCATTAAACGATGCTTGAGCTTTGCGCAAACTCGGTGGCCTCCAGACGACCAGCTCCAGATCATGGGTTAGATGCCCGACCTTGGCGAGTAGTTAGTGTACAATAATGATGATGAGATTATATACCCTGTTGCACGTATACATTGCATAGCTTTTGTGAACATCTGTGGCCTTTGAGGCGTGTAAAAGTGCCAATTATAATCGATTTTATACAATATAAACGTTTCGTACATCTCTTCTAGTATCTATGTGTTGCGCGTGTAAAGGGGATAAAACATTGTGTCGTTACCAGATTGCTGTTAGTGCTTTCCATATGCTCCCAAGCAGACCTGACTTCTCAGGCATAGGGTACTCCGTCCGGCAGCTATCAATCTTATCGAGCTGGATCCTGTCATGTCCGTTTTCGTAAATATCGTGGCCATCAATGCCCTGCATCACCCCTGGGTATGACCCCTGTGATCGGGGAGAGACCACGGCTTTAGTCCTTGCATTGTTTTCCCCAGTATATGTACGGATCAGTTTGCCTGCTGCTTGAGCACAGCTGCCATGTGCAAACCGAATGAGAGTGTCGCCCGTCAAACTGCCAACAATGAAGACATTATTCGCAATTTCCATGTTTTCAAATGCCTTCTGTCGCAGGGTTTGCCCAGAGACCGTTGGGGTTATTTCGCCTTTATCATCACATTCCAAGATCTCGGAAAGGAGTTCACGGTCCAGGTAACCAAGGGAGCCTCGGCGACCAGTCGCGTACACCATGCCGCGTACAGGTTGCGAGAAAGTGGCTCCATCATTTCGGCGGAAGGTGACCGTAGCAAATTCATTCTCCATATCCACGCCGATGATTTCGGTGTTCGGATATCCTTCATAAACCTCATCCCAAGCACGGCTTTCGAGAAATGGACTTGATGCCGTCCGCTTCACTCTGGCAGGTCGCTTATTTGTGGTTGGTGCTGCCGCAACGGCAGCTCGTTTCATCAAACGGTAGACCCCCGCGTACTCGGGGTAGGCCTGTTGGTGGCAGCCCCGCAGGGGAGAGGGCCGGGATTCAGGATCCCATTTGAATACATGGATGATCTTCTGATCCTTTGGTGCTGAGATAATTACATCTGCAGCTGAAAACCCAGACCCAATAATGAGCAGAGGGATATCTGGGACTGGCTGATGCGACAGGAGAGGCTGCAGTAGCGGACGAGGCTTTATCACTTCGGAAAAGATACCGCTCGCTAAGACCAAGTTCTTGCAATGGATATTGTGTGACTGAATGAAAAAGCCATTCTCCGTTCTGGAAATCCCCGCCAGGGTTTCATTGCTCTTGAAAACATCCGCAATCCCAACTGCTTCCGGATACATCCGAAAATATTCCGCCGTTTCCTGTCTACTGGGTCGGGTGAAAGCAGGGAGATCGTGGCCTGTGACCTTCCGGTAATGATCCGCGAAGGAGTAGCCTGGAAGAGATAGCATGGATGCATAGCTCAAAGTCTGAATGTCCCAACTAGCAGGGACGAGATTTTCGGTCCATTGCCCACCGGGCCGTGGCGCATTCCCAAAAACCAAATGAGGAACGGCTTTTTCAGGCACATATCGCCATTCGATATTTGAAATGCTTCCCAGTTCTTCCACATCGATACTGGGACGGAAGAGGGTGTCAAATAATACGTTGACAGGCAGGGCTTGAGTGGAGTAGCTCAGCCGGGAAGCGGCAAAATGCTCCGTTAGAGCATCGACATCAGCATCCAGCAACGCCGGGTGATTTTTGAGCTTGGCGTGGAGAAGAGGATCAGGATGTGGAGGGTTGGGGGAATAATACGGGACGTGACCGTGCAGGATAAAGGACAGGATCATGGCCGACGGCCCATTTCCTGTGGAGGGTTACAGGTCAATCACAGCGCCCATTGGCAGGAATAGCCTGCAAGGAGTATGGCGACATACCGATTATAATGGTGTCAGTGTCCATTGAAGGCAATCTGTGAGCCTCCAGCCGCCCGATCAGCGCGGAGCATTCTCGACGGGACATCAGAGAGACAGTACTTTCAATCGGTGGGTCTAGATGATGATGACGGCACCACTACCTTCCTGTGAAGGACATGAAGCCGCTAGGCACCGAAAGAGGTTACATCTGAGATGGCAGAAAAGGCTGCGAGAAGATGGCGTGAGAGGCGGACATTGAGCGGCTCACAAAAGTAGAGCCCTTCGCTGACAAAACTCTGATCTAGCTTAGCAATCCTGTCCCGATTATGGTCCGAACGGCGGCGTGGGGTGAACTATGGAAATTAAGCTTGGTTCGAGTCGCCTAGACCGGTGGCAGTCGGCGGGACATCGGTCTCGTATCAAAGTACAAGTACATCAATCATCTTCCCCCCAGACTTGATAGAGTTGAGATAAATCTCATTTAACCAGGGCCAAGAAATGTCCTTTGTGCAGCCAGGGGCGAGAAATGATACCTCACCCATGGTAGCGGGATGGATCAGTGAAATCATCGAGGGAATCCACCAAGGGAAACATACCCAATTCTATCATAATCATGAAAGGCGGCGACGTTCCGGCTGCGGGGTAGCCGTACTAGGATATTTAGGGCATAGGGTGAGGGGACTGGGCAGCCCTGTGCCCTACCTTCCGAAAGGAGACAAGGCTGACGCGCGTTGGACGGAAGACAAGGCGGGTGAATGATCGTCACCAAGAGGCAGACCGAAAAGAAAGAAAGTGAGAAGTGAAGGGCTAGGGAATCAGAGGCAAGTTGCGCTGCCATGATTCCGTTATTCCGACTCTCGTTACGCCCGTTCTGATCCCAGGAGTTGGCTCCGGCCTCCGCCGACTCGCAACGATGTACCATCTAGCTAAGTCGTTGTATATGTACGCTACGAGCAAAGAGGGTAAGACAATGCGCTGCGAGGCCATGTGCAGGGCTGCTTACTGATTATGTACCATGTAGAATATTCTGTCCTCCTTCTCGGGCTAGACAACGCTGGCAAAACTACGCTCCTCTCGCAGATCAAGGCGCTCTACCAACCCCGTCCCGATGGCGCCCCTGCTCCGAACCCCGGCAAGACCGTGCCTACAGTCGGCCAAAATGTCGCAACCATCAACCTCCCGGAAATGTACCTGAAGATCTGGGATGTTGGGGGTCAACTAACGATGAGAAATTTATGGCAAAGCTACTACTCAAGCTGTCATGCGATCATCTTCGTCGTCGACAGCACCGACGTCGGTCAGGACCCAGATATCGCCCGTCTCCCTTCGAATCGCCGATCCAGTACTGCATCGGGGAGTAACGCCGACGCGTTCACAGAACAGACGGTTGGCATTAATGCGCCAGGGAGCGACTTTGGTCGGCTCGACGAGTGTAGCGAAGTGCTAGAATCAGTGTTAAAGAACTCGGATGTTGCGGGTGTACCGATTCTGGTCCTAGCAAATAAACAAGATCGAGAAGACTCGGTAGAAGTTGTTCGCATCAAGGAGGGATTTGTGCGCAAGGTCTTCGAGGGAGAATCTGGAGGCGCCATGCGCGACAGTCGCGTCTTACCCGTCAGTGCGCTCCTGGGCTCAGGAGTCCAGGAAGCTGTGGAGTGGGTTCAAACCCGAGTCAAATGGAATAAAGAGGGCAGGCCTCCGGTGATGAGGTGATACGCTATGCCAGTTATGGAGAGCTCCATGTAAGACTGGAGCTGAGATCGTTCCCCGTACCTGGCTGACTTCGTGAGACGGTCAGCAACAGGTGCCTCTAGATTTTGCTTGGTGCCCTTGATATTAGATCTGATTGGATTTGGGCTTGTTAATGGCGTAGAGAGGATTTGTTCACACGCAAAGATACCTTAGTTTAATTGTTTTACTTTCTTCATGTGCTAGATACTTTGTATGGAATGTACTTTTCAATGACACATAATGTTTCACGAAAGCCGATGTCTCCCACAAGCCACCTGTACATGCTACTGTCTCGGCGCGGTTTCAAGACGGTCGATGAAGTCATATGCCTATGATCAATGTGCATCTGGATGTTCTAAGTAATTGCCCTATAATTGGCACGATATACCTTCGCTGTAGTCGCGCGATCAGCCCCACGACTGAGCTCGCCGTTTAAACATAGCGACGTCATGTTGCGAGAATTTACAGGGAAGAGTGACAGTGGTATGCGACGCCCTAGACCCGTTGTTTGATAGAAGACAATCATGGACATCGATGGTGGTGAGTTAAGTATGAAGTCAACCTCCATCAGCCTTGACGTCATAGGGTTGCTGGCTTGCAACAACCAAGTTGTATATACCCATCCGAAGGGTTATAAGAAAGTATCGACTGTAAAAGGACTTTTTCCTATAGTAAAGAAACAATCACTGCCAAATCTTTAGTCTGTCCATTATCACGACTCGAAGTACTCCATCACACTTGTCCAAAGACCAAATCCAAGACCTTTATTATGGCCACTCTTGACAAGATCCACTCCGACAACAACCCTAAGCAGGGTTTCCATCCTAGCGCTGGCAACTCCAAACCTCTCACAGACAAGGGCGTATGTGCACCTGAGCTCGATATCTTCAAAGGCCATTGGCTAACCTTTCAAAATAGCATCAACCTGGTCGCAAGGTCTCTCCTAAGGACTATGTCCCTGAATTCCACGCAGAGACATACCCTCCTGGAACTGCTCCCGCTTCCAACTCTTACACTCCTAACACCTGGTCGGAGGTGGGAGGCCAGGCTCAGAATCCCGATTTTGAGCGATCTCACGGGAAGGGGTCTGTAAAAACACCTGCGGAACAGAGTTTGCAGGGAGCTACCTCTCAGGATGTGCACACCGGTCTAGGCCACCCTGGGGGCGGCCAAACGAGCGCAGAGCTTCATCATGACGGACAAAAACACCGGAAGAACCCCGGTGGTGGCCTCGAGAGTGTTGGAGCAAGCAGGGAGCCCCGCTTAGAGCGCGAGATTCCCGGCTTGCGCGGACTTGAGCGTGAGGAAGCACAGAGTGGCCAGCGTGGGGATAAGGGTGCGCTGGCTGCTGAAGATAGGCAGCCCGACTCTGCGGAAACGCTGGACGCGGAATGGAAGTACGAGCCTCAGACCCAGAGACAGAGATTCAAGTCTTAGGAACACCATTTAATATAATGTCTTATATTATGTACTATAAAGTATGATGAGCACGGGTATCACAGTGTTAATTTGAGCGAATCAAAAGCCATATTGGAAGTCATCACATGTCGCGCAAAGGAATCGTAACAAAAGTGTTATTCGGGTCAAGTCGTCGAGCCAATGCGATGTGGGCCGTTTCTGGTTGAGTCGGCTGTTTCCTTCTGTTTCAGCTTCTTTGGCCAACTGCGAGCAATATCGATATTCGCGCGGGGGAACCACATCTCTAGAAAGACATAGATCAAGACATCAATGACGACGCAAAGGCAAAACAGTTTGCCTGCCCACACCCCGCAACCGTAGTATCGCTTTAGTCGGTCAATGAGGGCAAAGCTCCGTACCCTATCACCACTCGCTTCCCAGCCTTGGCCGGGATAATAACCGTAAAACTCTTCAGGGCTTATGTCTCCTTGAATTCCCTTGTACACACGTTCTGTGCGCTGTGCCACATCGGTCCAGGAGTACATCATCTTCACCTGATCATGAAATCGATCAGTTCTCACTTTGTTGGAGCGCAACGCGGCTATGGCTTTGCTAGTAGCCATGACAAGATCATCTTCTTCCGGCTTAGCGAAAGTGGTCATATGCTGGGGGAGCACTTCTGGAATGCCACCAACCCGCGTACACACCACATAGAGGCCACAGCTAGCGGCTTCCACAAGAACAGTCCCGAAGGCTTCGGTTAAACTGGGGTGTAGATAGATGTGACCTCGGACCATAACATCTCGAACTTCTTCGTGACGAACAGGACCGAGCATCTCCACTTTGTCTTGAAGCACATTGCGCTCTAACATCTGCTCTAAGTCGATGGCCTTGGGCCCTGATCCGGCGATGATGAACCGCACATTCGGATGGGACGAAAGTATTCTTGGAATCGTAGCAATCAACAGATCAGTTCCCTTATTATAGAATAGGCGCGAGATCACAACGATAGTGATAATATCATTGGGCCCAATAGGTCTCGGTGGTCCCTCATGCTCTAGAGGTCTGAAGTTTTCCGCGACGACCGCATTGGGGATGACGGAGACCATTAACGGGTCCAAAGATGCTCGAAGAACCGTATTCTCTTTACTATGCCGCAAAGTCAGCAGATAGTTCTCTGAGCTTAATTCCTGTGCCATTGGCATATAGGATGGCCGCGGGGTACACTGGCACCTATAGTCAACCCAACCGCTTGTTCTTACCATGTATGGCTGACACAAATGACATGGTCCACATCACTCAGCGTAAATTTGAGCAGTTTATTGGTCAGAATTGAGCCCGCGTCCGCGAACCCAAATAGTGAATGATCAGTAAAGACTGTCCGTAGACCCATCGTCCGGGCATGTAGGATAGCTTCATGGCAGAAGCTGCTCAAACTTGCGTGACCATGAACAATCTGAATCTGCTCGCGGATGACAATGTTGCGAAATATAGGAAAGAATGAAAAAACAGTTGGCATAGTCGATTCGCGGTATATGACGAGAAATGGGACATGGTATACTTTGAGGCCATTTGTAAGATATCGAACTCCCGTGCGACCCTTGTACGCATGGGTTATGATAATGACTTTGTGGCCACGGTCGATGAGTTTCTGAGGGCCGATGAGCATCCATCCGGTATAAAGACGGTAGGGTATCTTACGGTCGACAACTGATAAATGTGACTTTCAATCCCACCTGGTTGTGGGAAGAAAAAGTCACTGACCATACTGCGCAGAAAGCTGTTAGATAAGATCACCTGGCGCGGACAATGTAACCAAACTCACGCAATGTTGTAAGGCATGTTGGCTATTTCTTTATGTTAGAAGCCTAGAAATTATTAATGGATCATAATCCACTGGTCTGTCCATGTCCGGACTCTATCAGTTTAAAAATAGGATGTAATTATATCCAGGGGTATAACCGTCATCTCTGGAGCATGCCGTCGATTGCGCCGGAGCGGATCGACCAATGTTATTTCCCAAATGGTCCAGATCCTGGCGGTGGCGTGGGCGGCGTGTACATTCTGCCGACACAATAATCCCCGCTAGAAAGAAATATTTCGGAGAATCTCTTTCGAAACACCGAAGAGTACTGTTGATCGACAGCATTTTGCGCAGGTGGTGTGCTGACACGCTCCACAATGGCTGGTGACCACTCTGCGCATGATGTATCTTCGAAGAAGAGTTCATCGACACCCTTGAGTGCGAAGAAATCCCAAAAGAGGAAGAGAGATCCTGATGGCTCTGTCGTCCCTACCTCGACCCCAACGCCGACCAAGAAGCCGAAGAAAACCCAGAGCCCTTCGTCCACCTCTACGCCCCTCAAAGAAAGCCGGAAAAAGAAAAGAAAATCCGAATCAGCTGCCAGTGGTGCTTTTCAAGAAGAATCGTCCCAGGAAGAGAGTGCTGTCTCGCCGGTCAGCCGTAAAAAGGCTTCTACAAGTAAAAATGACAGCAAGGATAAAACAAAAAAGAAATCAAAGAAGCTTAAACGAGAGTCGCGAGACAATCATGGTTCGTCTGAGGATGCTGCAGATATAGAAGAACCGAACAGTGACCAGGAACGCACTGTGGAAAAACACGTGGATTCGAAGGATATAGACGCCATGTCAGAGGATGAAGATAATGCAAAGCCCCAAAAGAACAAACACTCGGGAATTTTGTCTAAATTTGAAAAGGCGGTTAAGGCGACGGAATCGGCCAAGGCAAAATCTGGCGAAGAAGATGTCGATAATGAGTCTACCGGACCTGTAACTGCGGAACCGGTTATAGCGCAGGGCCTGGAGCCGTTGCCTCAGCCAGAAGCAGCCCCCGAGCAAGATGAGAAGCCAAGCTATTCCTCCCTTCCGTCGTGGCTTGCCAACCCGTTAAGGACTTCCGCTGAAGAAAAAACCCCGTTTTCAAGCCTAGGGATCGAGGAGAACGTCCTACGCATCCTTGAAAACAACGGGTACAAGGAAGCGTTTGCGGTCCAGTCCACTGTGATTCCGTTACTCTTGCAGGGTTCTAAGAATCACCCAGGAGATGTATGTATTTCTGCAGCCACCGGTTCGGGAAAGACATTGTCATACGTCCTGCCCATGGTTACAGCTCTAGAGCAAGTCCCTGCTCCTAGGCTAAGAGGCCTCATCGTCGTGCCCACAAGAGAACTAGTTAAACAAGCTCGAGAGGCATGCGAGCTTTGCGCTGCTGGGTCTGGCCTTCGTGTCGCTTCCGCTGTCGGAAATGTGGCCATCAAAGAAGAGCAGCGTTCATTAATGCGCGTTGATGAAGTTTACGGCCCAGAGAACTTTAAACTGCGACAACAGGATAAATTAACGGACAATGACTGGTTGAACTTTAGCCTACAAGACTATATCTCAGATGCAGGAGATCAGAGTGAATCGTTGCCGGGTTATATTCGCAAGGCAGAACCCAATGTTGATATTCTGATTTGTACCCCAGGTCGTCTCGTCGACCATATCCGGTATACTAAAGGCTTTACCCTGAAGCATCTTGAGTGGCTCGTCATTGATGAAGCCGATCGATTGCTCAACGAGAGCTTCCAGGAATGGGTTGATGTTGTAATGAACTCTTTAGACGCAAGAAAGAACGCGGAGACTTTTGGATTTAGCGGAAAGTTCCTCGCCAATCTTGGGCTTCCGATACAAACCAAAGACCCGAGAAAGGTGATCCTCAGTGCCACCATGACGAAGGATATCTCGAAGTTGAACTCTCTACGACTTTCGAATCCTAAGCTGGTTACTGTTGGCTCTGCTGAACAAGCCACATCTCAGGAGGATGAAACTGGTATTCATGATCGCGCTGGCGATCAGTACACTCTGCCGCCTAGACTGAAGGAGTCCTCTCTCTCGGTTGGTGACGGGTCACAGAAGCCACTTTATCTCCTGCGTCTCCTTCTGTCGCACATTAAGGTGGATGTGAATAAGAACACAAAGCGTGCTTTGATAAACACATCCGATACAGATGACACTAGTTCGGAGGGTTCGTCTTCTGAAGAATCTAGCTCTGACGAATCGGACTCGGATTCGGCCTCCGATTCAGAAAGCTCTGATTCTGACACCGACACCGAGACTTCTAGCTCTGACGAATCGAGCTCGGAAGAATCAGGGTCTGACTCTTCCAGTGACGACAGCTCATTGTCGAGCGATAGTTCCGATTCCGAAGATGATTCAGCATCTGAGGATGAACTATCGGTGGACGTCAAAGCAGATAACAGTCGCCCGCGAGCCTCTGTTTTGATCTTTACCAAGTCATCCGAATCCGCCTCGCGTCTTGCGCGCTTGCTTGCCTTGCTTGATCCATCCTTGGCCAAGGAGATTGGAACGATCATCAAGTCGAACAAGTCATCAGCCTCCCGGAAAACGCTTACTGCTTACCGTCAAGGGAAGATCTCGATCATCATTGCTACTGACCGGGCGTCTCGTGGTCTTGACTTGCAATCCTTGACTCACGTTGTCAACTATGATGTCCCAACAAGCATCACTACCTACGTGCACCGTGTCGGTCGTACCGCGAGAGCTGGCAGGGAGGGATCTGCCTGGACCCTTGTTGCGCATCGGGAAGGCCGGTGGTTCACGAAGGAGATCATCCAAACATCTGACAACAGAATTACCAGGTCTTCTAAAGTACAAAAGGTGACGATGAAGCTTGACAATATGAAGGATGTCAAATCGAGGTACAGACAAGCGCTGGATACACTCGAGAAGGAGGTGAAAACAGGGGGAACAGGGAAGGCTTCAAGGACAGAAAAGTGAAACATCGCACTGTCAAGTGCCATTAGTAAATACGATATTATATGCGCATACCCCTCTTGACTCAAGATTTCATACCTCCTACATGGCCACAACGTTGACTAGTAGAGTAAATCTGGATTTCGGTGCATATATTCCTGAGAGTAGCGGGCTGGCACAAACGACTATGACCTTTATTGATGGACACATCTATTCAATGAGGGTGCCAAGCGGTTTCTTAGGATGTACCGCAAGCTACTAAGCCCTCCTGTACTTGTGTTCATTCATGATCCTGTCCGCACGTGTACGAGATTACACAAAGGGATATGAGTGCCAGAGGCATCATAATAACACCCAGGAAGGTCAAGTTACAAGTATTATGTTTTGGATCGGATCTTACTCAAGTGCCACCCGTATAGGCTGCAATAACTGGACCCTATCGACTCCTTCTGCAGCATCCTGTAGTAGCCCTAGATTGTCTACTGCACCTACTCTGAACCCCCGGAAAGCCGGGCCTCACTGCCGATACATTACTTGTGATAGTAGTCCAGGGCCCAAGATAGACCCCGTAATTCTCCACTCTTCTCCACTGGATCTAAACATCAGCCAGTCCTACTGCTTGACTTGAGTTTACCCCGTATAAGCGAGAACAGGTCTTCAGTGGGCAGGACGCAAGCCTGAGCCAATCCAAGCCCCATACCTATACCTTGGCATTAGGGCTCGGCATCATTGCCGCCGGGTAAAGTTCGGGAAAACTGACTTGCGTGGCTGCTGGGCCATCAATCCAGACATCGGCTCGGTGCTTGTCCCCGCGAATTACCCCGGGGAGGAAGAAACGTGGAGAAAGCTAGCAGTAATAGTATGCCGGCTTGTCTCTAGTGGAAGGCCATTTGACGGAATAGAGAAGGTTTCAAGCATAGCATTTGGTGCCTCGAGTTGCCGTTTTGGCAAGAAATTATGGACTCCCTGTTTAACAGAAGTATCGAGCAGCTACCGGCCGCATCTTCTAAACGTCACTGTTGACACTTCCTGTTGCTGTATGATCCATTGGACGACTCTTACATTTCACTATGGCTGAGCCTACAACACTTCGGTTGTGCGAAAACCGACCCCGAGTGTTTATACTCTCCGATATCTCGAACGAGCCCGACGATGACGAGTCTCTCGTCAGATATCTTCTCTATAGCAATGAATTCGACACCCGAGGGATAGTGGCGTGTACATCATGCTGGCTGAGACAGAAGATTTCCCCGGAGAGCATGGAGAGAATTGTACATGCCTATGCAAAGGTCGTCGACAATCTCAATGCCCACGTTCATCCCAGCAACCCATATCCCAGCCCGGAATATCTACTTTCTATCATCAAGAGCGGTCCTCCAGTTTACGGCCGAGCTGCGCTTGCACCCGGCGTACCTCTCAGCTCCGGCGCGGAGCTTCTAGTCGAACAGCTAAAAGCTTCAGAAGAACCACTCTGGGTAATTTCTTGGGGAGGCGCGAATGTCCTCGCACAGGCGCTTCAGCATATACACCAAACATGTTCGGCGACCGAGAGCGCTGCACTACGGTCGAGATTGAGAGTGTACACCATATCCGACCAAGATGATACAGGGATGTGGATTCGAGTCACATACCCGGATATTTTCTACATCTGCTCTGTACACGCCTGGAAGGAGTACGGCATGGCGGCGTGGATCGGCATATCCGGGGATGCGCTTGTACCATTCGATGAAGGGGGACCGGACGTCACGAAGGTGAAGAAAGAGTGGCTTCGAGAACATATTCAGATCGGGCCCTTGGGGCAAGCATACCCAACGTACTCTTTTATTATGGAGGGCGATACACCGACATTCTTGTATCTCATTCAGAACGGGTTAGGTTCCCCGGAGCACCCGGAATGGGGAAGCTGGGGCGGCCGTTACGCTCTCAGCGATATTGGAGGCGCTTCAAAGCATTACGCCGATGCTCGCGACACAGTCGTCGGCAAAGACGGAAAATCTCATACCAGCAACCAGGCGACTATCTGGCGCTGGAGGGATCATTTTCAGGATGACTTTGCGGCACGTATGCAGTGGAGCTTGGGGAGTGATAGATCAAAAGCCAACCATGCTCCTGTTGCTATCGTGAATGAAAGCAATGCGGGGCCTGATCCATTGTTTCTAGAGTCTGTCGCGGGCTCCGAAGTGCTTCTAGATGCATCACAGAGTTACGATCCGGATGGTGATGAGCTCACGTTCACCTGGTTCTTTTACAAAGAGGTTACGTCGTCACAACAGGATATTCAATGGATAGTTCCAGACTTGCAATGGGACGTCTTTGAGGATGCCCAGAAGCCCAGAGGAAGTGTCATTCGCGTGAAGATTCCTCCACCGGCGGAGTGTGCAGTTGATCTCGTCAATGGCCAGGCTGTGGGGAAAGGTCAGGCTTTCCACCTCATTCTTCAACTGCAAGACGATGGAGTTCCCAGAATGACTACTTATAAGAGGGTCATACTTCAAATGACGAACCCTGAGCTGCTTGGCGGAACCGGGAAGGTATTTTCTACCTTTACTGAAGTTGTGGAGTCCCGTGGAGATATATAGATGGGATATAAGAACATGGAGAAGAGATTGAAACCTCATGACGCCCAATTTCTTTAACTCCTTTGACGAATATAGACTTATTGACGATGTTGGCGAGTTATAATAGACATTTGTTAGACAGCTGTTATAGACCAAAGACGAAGCTACCCTACTGCTTCTGCCATGCAATGGGCGACAATATCCTCGATATCACATATGGAGGCATGTCTATCACTTCTATAAAGCAGCTTGCATGTAGAGAGAAGCTTTTCGTTCCATTCTCTGAATTTGAACCTCTACATGTTTAGAACTTTTTGGTCAGCAATAAATCAATCCTCGCAAGGCTGTCGCAAACCATCGTTCACTATACCTAAATCAGCATGATGAATCGCTTCACAATTTCATATTTTCGGCTTTTGCCTCTTCTAGTTCTCCTGTTTGAGCTTGGTGGCTCAAGGTAGTGGGTCCCATTCCAGCTGAAAGCTTTCAAACGACCCATCGGTTCCAGACACGGCAGTCCTAAGCGTCCGACTCCCTTCCCCAGATTCTCCCCGGACTTCTCCAGAGTCTCGCCATTCTGATATAATATGGGCTGGCCACTAGCACCTACGATGATTATCACCTACTACCTCTGCTTGTCGCCTCTTCGATTGCATATCCATCATCATGTCAGAGAAGGTTGAGGTCGAGAAAGACCTCGCCAACCATATCGAAACTATCCCGGGGAGCAATGAAGCTGTCTCAAGCAATGAGAACTCCACTTGGAAGGAACTATGGCAGAACAGGAGAGTGCTGCTGTGGTGTATGTTGAACCTGTTTAGCTCTTTTTAAGTACAACAGTGTTGGACGAGACCGAAGAGTCGCTAACATAGTATACAGGCCTCCTCATCTTCCTGCTTCCAGTCAACTTCGGTTACGAGAATGCGATGATCGGAAACCTGTTCGCTTCTCGTACCTTCCAGCTACGATTCGGGGTGGAGGTCAATGGCAGCTGGACTGTCGCGGCTCGCGATCAACAGATCCTGAACGCAGCTCCCACCATCGGCCTCTTTGCTTCGGCGCTTGCCACCGGTTTCCTTTCAGATTTCCTTGGCAGAAAGAAAGTGGTCATCCTGGCATGCGTAATTTGCATCGGTGGTGTCATTCTCCAATACTTCAGTGAGACGGTGATGATGCTTTTCGGTGGGAAACTGGTCGCCTGCTTTGGCTTCGGTCTGGGACATTCTCTCGGCCCCGTCTGGGTTGCGGAATTAGCACCCAACTCGATTCGCGGTATCTGTCTTGCTCTGATTGTCAGTGCCCATTCATGCAGAATAACTAGTTGGTCGCTAACCTGCGCTAGAACACCATGATTGTCATCGGACAGTGGTTATCTTCTCTCTGCATCTACGCCGCCTCATTCCGAGACAACGATCTCGCCTGGCGGATCCCCCTGATCACCCAGATAATCATGCCCGGGATCCTGTTCATAATTGGCCTCCCTCTACTCCCAGAGTCGCCCACATGGCTCCTAATGCGGGGCCGAGACAAAGAAGCACACAAGGCTCTGAAAAGATTCAACGGCCCGCAGTTCGACGCCGACAGGGCGCTGCAGATCATGCGCAACGCCATGGAGATGGAGAAGAGTGTGACGGAAGCACAAAGCTCTGCCAGCTATCTGGACTGCTTCCGGGGGCCCAACCTCCGCCGAACAACCATCATCTGCATGGTGTACCTTGCCCAGCAGTTCCTCGGGGTCAACTTCGTGTCCGGCTATCTGACCTACTACTTCGACCTCGCCGGCGTGGGCAACGCGCTGGCCGTCGCGCAAGGCGCCTACGCCATTCAGCTGTTCGGTAACATGTGCTCGTGGCCCTTGATCGAGCGGATCGGGCGACGTTCTATGCTGGTCTACGGCTCCATAATCATGACCGTTGGCCTGTTGATTATCGGCTGCGTCAATATCAAGACCACCGACGCCTCGCTCAAGGTCACAGTTGCGCTGATGTGTCTCTGGGGATGGCTGGTAAGTTTTTTAAGTTACCCATGTACTCCCATAATACACTGAGATGAAGCTAAACAATCAATGTAAATTTAGTACCAAGGATCCCTAGGAGCCGTTGCTTACGCCGTCGGTGGCGAGACGCCCACGCCCCGCTTGCGGCAGAAGACCTACGCCATCAATATCATGAGTGCAACCGCCGTGTCCTGCATGGTCAACCAGGTCATTCCGTACCTGATCAATCCCGATAAAGCCGACCTAGGTGGTAAGATCGGGTTCATCTTCTTTGGCCCTTCTGTGTTGGTCTGCATTTATCTCTTCTTCTGCGTGCCGGAAATGCAAGGCCGCACTCCTGAGGAGCTTGAAGAGATGTTTACTGTTGGTGTGCCGGCGAGGAAGTTCCAGACATATGTGTGTCAGGGTCAGCGGCTTGAGGAGAGAAAGGAGGAATTGGTCTAGCGGTGGTGCGTAGATACTTCTGGTGC